TTTTTTTGCCTTGGTGTGAGAGTTGGGTTTTGTGTCAACTTGGCTGGGCCAGGATTCTCAGTAGCTTGGCTGTTGAGGCCTCCCCCATGATGGGATCTAACATAATGTGATCAACTCTAACATAGGATCTACTGAGCTGTCACGCAGGTGTGGGAAGATTAAGGTGGAGTGGAACCTCTTACTCTGGTCACAGTCCTATAATGTCCCCTTGGAGCTGTGACTTACTTTGTATATATAAGTACATGCTGTGGACTTCTTCACTTCTTACTGCTCTATAGACTGCACCTGGCCCACTGACCTCTGGTTCTTGGAATTGGAACCAAAGACCCGCCATACCGCATGTCAACCCTGGGAGCCATCAGAGCCTAATCTGGCCTGCCAATCTTGGACTTACTCACCTCTAGATCCCCCAACTGTGGTCTTCCTGCCTCCTCATTTGTCAGCCCTGGCAGCACCTCGAGCCAGGAAAAGCTATGAGTCAGAATTCATGGGATAGCACTGGTTTTGTTTGGGTTTGTTGTTGTTGTTGTTTTGGAATTACCACCAAGGGAGTAAGTTTCCACCTAAGAAGTCCTGGTGACCTGCGACTAAACTCTCTGCTGCCACCTGGAAACTCAGGGATCGGAACCCAGCCACTGCTCCGCCTGAGACAGACGTAGCGGCCTGCTCCGGTAACGATGGCCACCTTGGGAGCCTGTTGAACTGTTCTAGCCCGTCCTGGAGGGGTGCTCTGTTATAGACTGCACAGCAAAAGGCTTGCATGCTTGTTCGCTTAGGAAGGGTGCCTACTCTTTGCTCTATAGGCTCTACAGGGTATCTATCATCCAAGACTGTTTGCTATGCAAGTACAAGCATCCTTGAAGATTGTCCTAAAGGAGGGCAGTTGGTGCCTTGCTCACAAGATGCACGGGGCTTGAGAGCATGAGAGACCCACGGAGAAGCCTGGCCCTGAACATAGAGCTACAACAGGATCAGGTCGATATGGCACCTGTGGCACAAGGGCCCTCTCTTTATTCCTAGACGGTGGCTAGCACTACCTCCCTCTGGATCCAACCACAGCCATGCACAGGAGGCAGGCCACGCGGCCAGTTTCATTTTACACCTGACTCAGGAGGCTGAAGCTGAAGGCAGTAAGTGCCAGAGACAATGCTGGTCCTAGTTATCCAACTGCCCCAAGGAAGACACCAGAGAACTAGGTTATTGGGACCTGTTTTAATGTGGTAGCATCGAAATGCAAGTCTGGGGTGTTGTGATAAGAACACTCACAGAGCCACTTCAAGTAGGGAAGAATCACATCTCAAACGATTCACCCCCAGGCAAGACACTGGTCCACCAGTCAACGAGAGGCCTATTCAGCATCTATGTGTTACAGGAAGGCCCCGGGGAACATGGTGCCTCTCCATTGGCCCCTGAAGTTGGCGTGGGGGGAAATGGCATGGAGTCTGGATAGCTGCTCACCCACAGAAAACCTTGAGACTCCCCCTGATTTTGCACAGACAAGTTACCACCCCAGAGTTATACCTCATGTCCTAAAGAAAGTGGCATTCATTTTTAGGAGTAACTCTTCAGGATCGTTTGGGTGGAAATAGGTAAAGAAAATTTAAGCAAGGAGGAGAAGTACCAGTGGGGGAAAGAGTGGTCTCCCCATCTTTGTCTCCTTTGAAAAGGACTTCTGCAAGGTTCTGACAATCAAAGACGTTCGCTTATTCTGTTTTTTAATCTAAACGAAAATCAATTTATGCAGATTATAAGCAAGGACTCCCTGTACCCACAGCACTCCCTATACCGTCTAAGGAAGGGGACTCCACTGCTTCTGAGAAGTGGCCCATGAGAGTTGATGGTGAACCAGGGAGTGGCGGCTTGCTCTCGAAGTACGTGCTTCAGAGTAGACTGCGTACACAAGGGAGGGAGCCCTGATGATGTAGCAGGTTACATGTTGGGCTGCTAACAGCAAGGTCAGTAGTTCAAAACCCCCAGCCACTCAGTGGGAGAAATACGAGGTGCTCTGCTCCCAGAAAGATGTACTGTGTTGGGCTCCTGCAGGGGCAGTTCTACTCTGTCCATAGGGTTGCTATGAGCTGGTCTTTTAATATATAAGCCTTATGTGGCCTCTGATGGGTGGCCCTCTTTGTAACGCCTTGGTTGCTCTCTGTGCCTCCATTCGGGAATGGCTCTAGACTTCAGTGTCCACCCCCGCCCTGCTTAAGTAGCCGCTGTTCCACATGGCTATTAAGCAGTCTGTCTAGCATGTAGACAGGAGTCTGAGTGACCACAGACCAGCACAACCAGAATGACTAGATTCCAGGAAGTTTTCCAGAAGTTTGTGTATGTGTGAAAGCCCTGGGGTCTCTGACTCAGACATTGAGAAGGGGTGGGGGGTTCCCCTCAGGCGTAGGGCTCGCCATGCTCCAAGCTGCCAGACTCTGGGAAGGGCCAGCCCAGATACCCTGTGGAGCAACACTGGAGGGATGGAAAGGGAATGAAAAGTCCAGTCCTGCCGATGAGAACCCAATCTGTGTGTCAACCATCACTGAAAATACAATAAAACATTATTCAAAAAAAAGTAAACTCAATCCCAGAAGGATAGGGGTGGGGGCAGTGTGGTTCAGTGGGAGAATTCTCCCCTCTCATGCAGGAGGACCGGGTTCAATTCCCAGCCAATGCACCTCCTGCTCAGCCACCATCCATCCGCCAGTGAAGGGCTACCCGCTGTTCTCATGCAAAGGAGTGTCTAGGTAGAAAGGCCTGGCAATCCCCTACAGAAAATTAAACAATGAAAGCTAACCAGTGGGTCACAGCGGTCTCATCTACCTATGACCAATCACGGGTCTGGTGCAGGGCGGTCAGCATTTTGTTCTGTTGGACGTGGGGATGGCCCTCAGCCCGGGGTGACTCAAGGGCAGCAGCCAACTGTAGCAGAGGGCCAGGGGTAGTATGGTGCCCAGTGCAGAATAGGCTAGAGGGAAATTACAGGCTCCCACCTCAGACTGCTCTCACCCAAAAGGGGAGAGCTCCCAGAGGCTTCTCTGAGGGGCTAACACCAAGGCCACACTGGTCATCTAGTGTTGGCAGCCCCTCCAAGCCAACATCCCCAGTAGGTGAGTCATGGCTGAGGAAGAATGCAAGCTCCAATGGCCACGTCTCCTTCGAGAAGCAGGCGTGCTCCCCACTCTCCTGCCGTTGACATGTGAATTCTGCCTCGCTCACTGTCTGTTCAGAGATTCAGGGGAGGGGGAATCAGCCATGCATTTCTGGGACTGGAAATCATCTCACTCCAAGCTGCTCTTTCTCCCAGGAGCATAGATAAATGGTTCTCTGAACTCAGCCAGGAAGCCCGCATGAGGGGACGGGAGAGGAGAGTCTGGGGACGTGGGCTCTGGCTGGGCTGCCAGGGAGGGGCCAGCATTGGGGGAGGACACCACAGACAACTGAGGACCCCCCAGCCACAAAGCTCCCCTGCCCGGTTCCTCTTGTAGTGGCAGACAGCCCAGTGAAGAGGGGGCTTTGGAATCAAACAGGCCAGGGTGGCTGTGTGGCCTCAGGTGAGCTGCTTCACCTCTCTGAGGTGACTGGCTTATAAACCGAAGATACACAACCTACTTCAGATGGTTACTGTCAAGATTTAACGAAATAGATAGCGTGAAAGAATTTAGCACTGGGGGGAGGCGTCAGTGATGGCCAGTTATAACTACGTAAACGATGTCCATTCAGATTCAGTGAGCACCGAACTGGGCGGGAGGTACATTTGCGTCTTTCGCCAAGCGCTGAACTCTGCTTCATCACAGATGCCACCAGTTGTCCTATAGCATCAACATGGGGAGGTTACAACCTCTGGTTGCCCACGCATGCACAGATGGCCCCAGGCTACTCGGCCCTGGGGAGCCTAAGACACCCTGCCTCTGGACTGAGAGATACTGATTTCATTAGCCAGGACTGGGGCCAGCTGCCCTGGAGATCCAGATGTGCACTCAGGTCTCAGGACCACTCTCCTAGCCTGTTCGGAGCCCTGATAGTGTAGTGGGGGTTATGATTTAGGCTGCTAACTGCAAGAACAGCGGTTCAAACCCACCAGCCTCTCCAAGGCAGAAAAGTGGGGTCATCTGCTCCCCTAAAGATTGACAGTCTTCGGAAACCCACAGGGGCTGTTCTACCCTGCCCTTTGGGGTCACTCTGAGTCAGAGTTGACTACAAGGCAGTGGGTGTTGGTCAGCTCACCTGGGCAGGAATCCTTGGGCATTACCAATGGTTGACATGCTTGCTGGCAACCACCCAGTGGCATCTCGGAGGAAAGGGCTCGTCACCTGCTTCCAAACAACCAGCCACCAAGCGTGGAGTCTTCTTGATGGCAACTGACTAGCCATTATGGGAGGCCAAATGAGGAGGAGGGGTAGGCGGGGCTGGTTCCTTATTAGTATGTTCCTCAGAGGGATCAAAGCCAACTTCCAGAAAGAGAACTTGGCTCCTGGGTGGAGAATGGATCCCAGGGAGGTAATGGGGTGGTGGGACCGCTTGTGGAAGGGGCACAGTTCAAAGATGCTCAGCAGGACCATGGAAGATGTAGCATGGAGCAGACCTGAGCGGTAGCGGCAGAGGAAGAGCTGTGTAATGGCTGGGGACATGTGAGGAAGGAGAGGGAGTTAGGGGTACAACCGGACATCCGGCTGAAGCCCTGGGGGGATGTCAGTAGTGGGATGTCAGGTCCGGAGCAAGGGAAGGGATGGGAATGTGTGCTGAGGGGTGGGACCCAGGACTTTGGAGGACAAGGGAATTCTCTCTTCACTTGGAGACCGTAACCTGGGCTAGCCAGGCAGGGTGGGAAGGGTGGCGGCATGGATGAGGGTGTCCCCTCCCTTGTTTACCCCATGGTTAAGTGTCCAAAGACATCTTCGGAGTGTGAAGCTGACCGCAGATGCTGGCTGCTCTCGGGCACAGGCACGGGACAGGGCACGATCCCAGCGCCCTGGCTGGGTTTGGGAAGGCACACAGCTAAATACGCAGAGTTGTACGTAACTCCATTTATTTGAGTAAATAGCTTGTAAATAAATCATTGGTAAACATTACAAAAGTAAATACATTTTCCAAAGCCTGCCAGTATACGTAAAATCCACAAACAGAGTTCTTTTAAAAAATAAAATATGTTCAGAGCACCCTTGGTATAAAATGCCTGGCCCCCGCCCTCTCTGACAGGGCCACCTGGAAACAGTCCCTGGCAGGTGGGGTCTCTGTGGGGAGGCCTGGAGCCTCCTGGATGGTGCATAGGGTATTTGCTCCTACCTGTCACCCCACCCATATCCCATCTGGACTTGAATCCTTCTCCAAGGAGCTGGTGTGGAGCTGCGGAGGCAGGTGCCCAGACTTAACAACTCCAGATAAGTGGGGTGAGGTGTGCAATCAGGGTCAGGCAGCCCCACCCCCTGCCCCCTACCAACCACCCTGGGTCCTACCACACCCATTACTAGCATCAAGACCAGCAAATGCCCATGTGATCAATCATCTGGAGGGATGGTGAGGCTTCCTCCATTGGGAAGTGGAGGGTGGAGGATGGGGTGGGCACAGTGCCCCATACCCACCTCCACATCCTCTACAACACTCAATTCACCCCCACTCTGGTCTGATGCTGCCCAAGTACAAGAAGAGCCTGGATCTTCTCCTATGGAGGAAGATTCTTACTCTGCTGCCTTCCTCCTGACCTGCTTCCATGGAGAGAATCCACAACATATGGGGTGGCAAGGGCTTCCCATTCCCACAACAACACGCCACACAGAGAGTGGGGACCTCTCTAGCAACCCAAGGGGTTCTTCAAATTCAGGGTCCAGACAACACTTAGAAGACCACCAGCGAGCCATTTAGGCCAAGGAACTCATCAGCCGTCCATGCAGTCAGCCCTGGACCAGCTCGCACCATTTTGGAGCATGGTCATCAACAGGACAGCCACCCTGCAAACGCTTCCCTTTGGGCCACCTAGGACACCTGGAAGGTCAGCAGATGCGTGGCAAGAGTGTCTAGTGGCCATTGTGGCCTTCAAAGAAAGGACCACCCCAAGTCTGACCCACCAGTGGGAAATGAAACTCACCTCTCCAGTTTAACTTGGGTGTCTGCAAATCTACACGAGAAATGTGACACTGGAGTCACACGGTACAGCTTCAGGGGGCGGAGAGGGGAGTCTTACCAAGCTAGTTGTAAGAAAATCACCCGCCCGGTAGAATAAGGTCCTAAATATCGGGAGCTTCGCAGAAACCACTGCCTGCTGGAGCCCGTCTGGTCATCCACCTGCAGTAACGGGCCTCGGTCAAACTGCAGCCAGAGATGGGAGATCTTCGCTATTAAAACACTACACTAACAGAAACCTTTAAAAACAGCAAAGGAACGCTCTGGAATAAATGTCTACTACAATCCTTCCCCCCACCCTAGGAAAACAAAAAAGCTGTTCACAAGGACATCTATCCTTTAATAAATGTCGTCTTGTCGTCCAAGCCCCAGGCTCCATCTTCATCTCCGGGAGGGCGTCCTCCTGGGCCACACTCATACACCCTTCTTCTGCGGAGGGCTCAGCTTCCTCATGCCTCGAATTCGAGCGAGCAGCTCTTTGATAAATTCCTAAAAGAGATCAGAAGTGGGAGTGTGAGCGGGGCCATTCTGGTCGGGTGCGTGTGTTTGCAGTCTAGTTAAAGGAAGAGTGACCAACTGCAGTCGACCCCCAGTGCTCGCCCCCACACCGCGAACTGGCGGGGAGGCACTAACCCAACTGGAACAATACAGGAGTGCTACAGGAGTGCCCGCTCCCTTTACTCATCTGTGTGACCCTCTCTGGCCCCTGTGGTTCGAAGCAGGGGCCTAACCTTTAACAAGTGCATTCTATCACTTGGGGAGCGTCTTCCAATGTACTTTTTGATTGTTCTGATCAGGGTGGTGGGGGTTGAGAGTCTAACAAACTACCAGGTGATGCCCGTGTGGTTCTCCAGAATCGGGGACCACCTCTGGCCTAGAGCACCCTAAAGGTCTTTGGGTTCTCACCAAAAACCACAGTATGTAAAAAAAGACACCAAACACTTTTAAAAATAGTAAGCCCAGTACACACGAGTGCATCTGAAATAGAACTTTAAAAAACAGGTATTTTAAGGGAGCCCCCCGCCCCCTCAAAAAAAGGATTCCATGGTCTAGTGAAGGATCAGGACCAAAAGTCAGGAAACCAGCCTAGAGGGGTTCTCGCTTCATCCCACCAGGAACCTTTGCTGTCTTTTGTTGCAAGAGGATTGGCTGCCAATCATCCAAATCGTCCTCCTAATGTATTTGCCACAGATGCAGCTGAGAGCCAGCCGAACAGACCACGGATGGATGGAGCGGCTCACCCTCTGCACTGCCAGGCAAGGACGGTCCAGAGGGAGCACATCACCGCTCGTGCACAAGCTGAAAAACCAAGAGCCCGTATTTGCCGTGAACCGCACTGCCAGCGTGGATCCCCACTCCTGTGTGCCAGGGTGGAACTGTGCTCTGGGGGGTTTCCGTGCCTGCGTTTCAGGAAGGAGATGCCCAGAGTTTTCTTCCACTGTGCCTCTGGGTGGGCTAGGGCACCTCCGACCTTTGGGTAGTAGCCAAGCACAGAAACTGTCTGTACGACCAGAGGTTCCTACTTCCTATTAAAAAGCCCCCGAAGAACCCCAAACCACTCTCAGACAGCTCCCCCACTAATTGCAATCCTCAGTCAGTCCCCTCCATTACAACCCTGAGTCAAGCCCCCCATTAATTAGAGCCCTCACTCACTCACTCATGAGCTCACACTCAATGCCCCAGGGGTCCCCTCCAGCTCAAACACACCACACTTATTTAGTGGTTCTTAAACAACATCATGTATTCTCTTCTAAAGACTTTTATGCTATTATAAAAGTCATATGTGGCTAATGTAGAAAACGTGGACAATTTAAACCAGTGACCATCTATGCCGCCAAATTAGCCACTATGAACATATTTTCTTCCATGGACATTGTTCTCTCCAATTACAATCCTTGAATAAATATATCCCTTTTTCAGTATGTCAGAAGCTTCTCCCACCCCACCCCCCAACATTAAGCATTCTTCCTAAAAATTAATTTTAATAGCTTGATAATTCTTCATTGTATGGGTGTTTTATAACTAGCTTAAAATGCCATTGTCATGCATTTGAAGGGTTCCTGGCTCTTTGAAATGACAAACAATGCCAAGCCTAACAGCTCTGGGCATGAAGCTTCGCCTATATTTCGGATGATTCCCTTTGGGTAGCTAGCCCAGAAGTGTGGGTCAAAGGGTAGAAACATTTTAATCACTACCATTTCTGAACGTAAAACGAAGCCCTGTTTTAATTTTCTGAACACTGTCTATTCTACCCAATTCACAAAGAATTTTCTAGGATGAAATAATACCCCATTTTCTCATTTCTATTGTTTTCCTTTTGAAAACCTAAATGTGTTTCCTATTGCCCCTTTTGCGGTGTAGTTTAAACAATACACTGTATTCTGCACATGCACTTTTAATTTTATGTTTCTGGAACCTGTTACTCAAATGACTGCTGCAAAGAGTTTTAGCGTTTTAAAACAAAGGTCCTTCTTTTAAAGCAAAGGTCAGTATCACAAACCCTATAACTTATCATCGTGACAGCTCGGGCCGGTGTCTTTCACAAAGAGCACTTTTAAAAGTAAGACTCAATTACATAAGGTACAATCATGACCTTTTAGATAAAACCAATCTGATAATTCAAACAAAACTCAAAGTCTATCTGAAAACCGATCATGATGAGTACAAGTCTCAGTAACTCAAATTTCTTTTTAATTTTTACTTATTATCTTAAATGATACAGTATTATTACCTTATGTCTGTGATATAAGACTACGACTGGGAACTAGTCAGCTCACATTCCACGATAACATACTTAACTCTAACACCTACACTTCTTGTTTCCCCTTTTATTTGTGCAACATAACACATACAAGAGGAGCCCTGGTGGCACAGTGGCTACGTGTTTGGCTGCGATCGTCAAGGTCAGCAGTTCGAAACCACCAGCTGCTCCAAGGGAGTAAGACGGGCTTTCTAGTCCTGTGAGAGTTGCAATCTTGCTGACCTGTCCTATAGGGCCGCTGTGAGAGTGGGGACACACACTAGAGATGGAGAAGAGGGAGACACCATCTTAAACGTAATCTTAAGTTAGCTAAGAAAGGCTAACGAGAACAAGACGAGAGTGCCAGCCGTACAGGACAACCTCAAGGGGCCTCGACTTGGAATCATGCATAGAATTGGCCACGGCATCAGAACAGTAACAGTGTCCAACAAGGCCCCTGGGTGGTCCTTTCTCCATCCCACCCCGCACTCCAGTGTCCACGTCTTCATGTCCCGTCTTCTCCGTATTTCGGCCTCATTATCTGTGCAGTTCCCATTCCCTTGGGGAGACCCATTTTCCATCTGGTTTTGAGAAATGTCATTGTGAGGTACCTTTTAGAGCTTTTACTTAGTTTTTTCCTGTGGTTCGAGCCTGCTCAGCTTCTTCGATGTGTACGTTTGCAGCTTTCATCCACTGGGGAGTGAATTCTTCCCCTATGACAGTTCTCTCCCCAGGACCCAGTGACCACGTGTCAGGACACTTGAAGGTGTCCTGCACCTCGCCGGTACTCTGCTCACTGTTCTCTTCAGCCTTTCTCGTTATCTCAAATGAGACCGTTTCTAAGGGTATGTCTTCCAGTTCCCTAATCTTTTCTTTGTAATGTCTTCTCGGCCATTAATCTCCGCCTAACTTCATAGCTTTCATCTCTAGAAACTTAATCTTGGTTTTTTTTTATACCTTCACTTACTTAACACAATCGGTCTCTCCTCTAACTTTGATGATATGAAATGATTGTAATAACTGTTTTAACGGCCTTGTACGCTTATTCTAATAGCTGTGTCGGTTCTGAGTTGGATTCAGTGGACTGATTTAGCTCAGCATAGGTTGTATTTTTTCCGCTGCTTTGCATAACTGGTCTTTTTTTATGGCAGACATTGTGAATTTATCATGTTGGGTGGGGCATATTTTTATTCCTTTAAACTTTTATGCAACAAACAACAACAACAGCAACAACAAAAAACAACTAGAATCCACTGCTATCAAATCAGTTCCAACTCATAACCCCATCAAGGGTTCCCAAGACTTTGAAACAGAGATGAGCAGACAGCCTCATCTTTCTCCTAAGGAGTGGCTGGTGAGTTTGAATCACCAACGTCGCAGTTAGCAATCTAATGCTTACCCAACACCACCAACAATGCAATGGAGCTATTAGAAGACACATGTCTGGGGTCTTAAAGGCTTGAAATTAAACAAGCAGCCATCTAGCAGGGAAGCAATAGAGCCCACATAGAAGAAGCACACCAGCCTGTTTGATACAAGGTGTCAATGGGATCAGGTATCAGGCATCAGAAGACCCAAAACAAACAATCATATCTATGTGAGCGAGGGAGTTCAGAGTGGAGCCCCAAAGCCCATCTGAAGACAATTGGACATCCCCTCACAGAAGGGTCACAAGGAAGGGATGAACCAGCCAGGGTGCAGTATAGCACCAATGAAATACACAACATTCCTCTAGTTCTTTAATGCTTCCTCCCCCCACTTTCATGACTCCAGTTCTACCTTACAAATCTGGCTAGACCGGAACATGTACACGGGTACAGATAAGAACTCTGGACACACAGAATCCAGTGCAGATAAATCCCTCAGAGGAACAACAATGGGAGTAATGATACCATGAGGGTAGAGGGACGGTTGGGGGAGAAAGGGGAACAAATCCCAATGATCAACATATAGCCTCCCTGCTCCAGCCCAGGGATGAACAACAGAAATATGGGTGAAGGGAGACAGCAGACAATGTAAGATATGAAAATAATAGTAATGTATCAAGGATTCATAAGGGTGGGAGGTGGGGGAAGGAAGGAAAACAGAGGAGCTAATATCAAGGGCTCAAATAGAAAGAAAATGTTTTAAAAATGATGGCAACATATGTACAAATGCTTGACACAATTGATGTATTGTCAAAAGAGTTGTAAGATCCCCCAATTTATTTATTTTAATTATCAAGACAAGTTATCTGGAAATAGTGTGCTCTTTTTGGGTTTTGCTATGTGTGACCCGAGCAGCATGTACTGTAGGGCTAACAATTCCCCAAGGGCTGAGCCTGCTGAGCGCTCAGCCCATAGCTGTGAATCACAGGATCTGCTACTGAGAACAAACACTCTTCCTGGCCAGGGGTGAGTGCAGAGCCCTGTATTACTTGGGATCATTTTGTCGGGTAGTCCTTTCCCAGGCTCTCTGTGGAACGCCGAGTGGGGGTCCCTGCAGGGCATGCCCTGTAGAGTCCAGCCTTCCAGCTTCCTTCCGCTCCAAAGCACCCACTGGGAGCTCCAACCTAGGTCAGCAGCCTTCCGTGACCGGTCTCAGCTGCACGGTAGCGGCTCCCTTCAGAGGAGACAGGCTGGCCACAGTCCCCACCTCTCCATAGGGTGGCACTTGCCCACTGACATTACATGCCTGGGCCCGATGGATGATTACAAACCCCTGAGTTCCCAACAAGTGATATGCAGGGTCCAGAGGATGCCTGGAGAGA